AGTTAATCTTAACAAATTTTTTAATAAACACATTTGTGTTAAGGATAACACGTAATAATAATATTAAGTATTGCATTACAAATATGTTTAAACTAAATGATATAGATATTTAGACAATGTACGTAATATTGTACATTGTGTGCATTATAAAATTATCTTCTTAAAAGATAAAATTTGTAAAAAAACGTCACAAGCAAACGATTTAACTGTAAGTGGTATGCTGTGATAAGTTTTTATTTAGATCTTTCCATTTTTGCACTTACATAGAAATACATAATTAGCACGTACATTTTCACATTTATATATAAAAATGAATCTTTGTATAACTTTGCGTACAACTTATTTGAGTTTCATAAAATGAATTCTTGTTACAATTGATACCGATACTAATAACGGTACTAAAACTGATACAAAATTAATTTGTCTTATATTTACAATATAGTGCAGAGCATTTTTAAAAAATAGTAAAATATATTATAAATTATTTTAAGTTTGGTGTTGAGGCACCAAGATACGTTTTCAAATCTATTATCGTTGATTGTATTAATTTTGCCTTAATGAACGATTTTCCAAGTCTCTGGTGAGCTGTATATCGATGGCATCCACCAAAGGAGTAATAATAATTACCACCTATAGCAAAGAGAAAAATTGAAATAATACAATAATATGAACCAATATACATACACGTTAATTTCCTTTTAAGCCAAACAAAGCAATAATGGAAATCATATTACCTTCGCTACCTTTGATCCACAGAACATCGATTGGTGGTACAGACGATTCCGTCTTTGGACATTCTAAAGTGTTCATTAGACTTTGAACCTTCTCTTCATCCACTATGGGAGGAATAGGTCTGATAATTACTTCCATTGGCACATCATAGACTTCAGCATTTACATCAGAATGGATGCTTGTAGATATTGAGTTGTCCATCTTGTAAATTGCATCTGAGAACTAGCAAAGAAAGAATGGCGTAAAAGAACTAATAAGCTGACCAAACAAAAGGCAGTGCTATACTTTTCTATAAACTAGGCTTACATGAACACGTTTGATACTTTCGATGTTGAGAATGTTCAAAATTATTTTATTCTAAAATAAAGTTTCATTAAAATAGAAGAATTTAAGATAAATCTCTTCTATTAAACTTACTTTCCAGCATTTAAACGCGTTGTATTATCTGAATCAGTTCAGCATGTGAATGTGACTGAAGGTAACAAATATATAATGCAATATGCGATCTTGTGATGAGTCATATAGAAACGGATCCAAGTTGATGTACGTGTTCCACTTCATACAATTGGTACAGGAGGGGGAAAACTATCGAACTAAGTGGGGATTAGGAGAAGAACTTGAATATTGTAAAAAAGGAACGAATATTTTTAGCAGTGATAAATTTTTATAGTCATTATAAATAATGCTACTTTTGTACCGATTCATTAGTCAGAAACGAAATTATGCATTTTGCCAAGTCTTTGTATGCACAGGCTTGAATACTTTCTGGAACAGATAACACAATTGGTTTACCAATGTCACAACTTTGTGCAATATCTTTAGATACAGGTATTGATTGTAAGACTCGCACACCTACAACAAATACAAGAAATTATATATGTAGATTAATAGATATTGAAATTTATAAGATTAGTACCAAGTTCAGAAGCCATAGTTTTCACCCCATCATCATAAAGAGCTATTTCATTGTCGCATTTAGGACATATAATGCTGCTCATATTTTCAACAATTCCAATTATTGGAATATCCAACTGTTTAAACATGTTAAGTCCTCTTCTGGATACTTCTAAAGCAGCTTTCTGAGGTGTAGTTATCAACAATGCTCCGGTTACAGGAATATTCTGTATTAATGAAAGGTGTGTATCTCCTGTTCCTGGTGGAGTATCGATAACAAGATAGTCCAAAGGATCCCATGCTACTTGATACAATAATTTTTGAATCGCACTCATTACCATTAATCCTCTCCATATTACAGGAGATTTATCATCAATTAGAAAACCCATAGACATGCTATACATAAAGAAGAATTACAGAAAGCAATTAAAACAATTAGAAGTCCATGCAAACCATAGAATTGTAGTTTCTACCATTTTACTCCATAATTTACAACTGGTTCCATAAGATTACTGTTGTTAATTATAGGAGACTGTTTTATGTTCATCATTAGAGGTATAGAAGGACCAAATATATCGGCATCTAGTAAACCAATAGACTTCTGTGGTTCAATAACTTTTAAGGCAGTTGCTAAATTTACTGCAGTTGTAGATTTTCCGACGCCACCCTTTGCAGAAGAAACAACAATAATTTGCTTGACTCCTTTCAAAGGTTTCTGTTTTGGAAGACCACGTGCCATTGATTCCCTCCGTTTTGCTTCGATTTCTTTTTGCCTCCCTTCATCATGATAATGAGAGTGACTCTAAACAGAGAAAACCTGTTGAAGAATAATTTAGTTTTTGTAAAAGTTGCGTATTGAAACAATCTCGTTACTAATCTTGTCACAGTGTATATCAACTCTAACCACGTGTCTTTGAAAACAATCGAATGACATTAACTTATCGGAATTTAATGGAGAAAATTTTAAAATGTATATGAAGTTATACTAGTACATACTAATGACAAGAAACGATGATTCTTCACGTTTCTATGATGATATCGGAGACGTGTGAAATATTTGTTAAAGACAGAAACTAACGGCGACATTCTCGACACTAGTACATATACACAATATGTACAGTAAAATTGTTTGACCACACAGACCGTTTCTAACCTTACATTTCAAGTTGTATAATCGTCAATTCATTCAAATTCATGGCCCCGAAGGAAACCTCGCATGATTTTCTAAAATATCCTTCCAACACAATTTTTGACATTCCAATATTTTCTTTGCGCGCATCTTAACAGTATGTTTTTACAAGCCTTGTTCGTGACCATCGAAAATTTTGATGTTTTTCACGGAAAGTAACTGAGATGTTTAACGCAAGGGCGGTACAGTTTTTCATTACTGTGAAGTACATATCAGTAATGCGGTGAATCTTATGCTTTTTCTTAATGTAAATATGTGAATGTAAGTTCTTATTTCGCTTTAAACTAGGTTCTGTAATGAACTTTAAATTGATACTATGCTTAAATCGAAAGTTAGCTATCAGTTTGATATTTAGCGAGCTAGTTACACACTACCTTTATAACGTTATTATCATTGTGCCACAGTTAACCTAGATTTTTAATTGTAATACACATTGACTTTCGTCAGTTGAATAAACCGTATTGAGTGAAACGGTCGACAAAATTTTGTTTTTCTTTTTTTCAAGAATTCTGTGTTTGAATGTTTCTGTCAGTGTAATGATTCTATGCTTTCGTATAATTCTAGAAAATATTCGTATAACGAGAAAACATGCGTAATCGCTCGGATTAATCGATTCAATTTGTAATTTGATCGATAAACATAGTATTAATTAATATCTTTCGCATGTTAAATAATAAATGATTCGTATGTTACGAATAAACTAAAATTGGAAGAAGATCGGTAATTAAAATTTAGTGCATTGTGTTGAATTTCTGTAACCTGACAAAATTATGAAGTTTTTATGTGACAATGACTTTAACGTACATATTTCACGCAAACAAACCCATTTGGCTATGAACACGTATGTATCCAATATTGTAAGATAGTAAATAACTAATTGTTGTACAATTTAATTTCTAGTATTTGTTAAGTATAACACAATCTGAGGTTAACCCCTTATTTACATAGGTAAACCGTGTTGCATTAACGAGTCAAGGTGCACGGAATATGGGCCTAAACGCAGCCGTACAAGCTTTAAAGTAAGTAAAAAAAAAAACATGTGTTCAATGTTTCTCTAAAACTTATTTAATAAATATAATTACTAGAAAAGCCGAGCCACTAAAGGATAAAGTTCAACGTTGTAAAGATCTTCTAAATGATAGTGATGCATGGGTATGCCAACAGCAATTACAAAAAATATATCAACAAGTTCTCATTTTGGACCTGGAATATGCATTGGATAGAAAGGTAGAACAGGAACTTTGGAATCTTGGATTCAAGAATTATATAGCAACTTTGCAATCACAAGCAAAAGATAGAAAAAATCCAAAACGAGGAGAATCTCAGGCTTTGCTCAGCTGGTGCTTGGAAGCAGCAAGCGGTTTTTATTTGACATTGTTACAGGAAATTTGTACAGCATTCGATTTAGATTTACCATTTAGAAGGTAATTAGATAAATATGAATTTTACTAGAAATCCACTGTATAACAAAACTTATTTTGTAGAAAAGGCTATGTTTATGGATGTACTTCTCCATGGAAAGCTGTTGAGAACTTGTCGGTGCCTCATAGATCATCGTGTTTTTACGCGTGTCAGTATTGTTTAGTACATTTGGGAGATATTGCTCGCTACAGAAATGAAAGTAAACAAGCAGAGCTATTCTATAGACATGCCGTATCATTGTCACCATCCAGTGGACAACCATACAACCAGCTAGCTCTTTTGGAAGCATCACGTGGCAATAAATTGGGAACTGTGTTTCATTACACACGGTCTGTTGCTGTAAAACATCCGTTTCCTGTCGCTACCACAAATCTGGCAAAAATGTTATCTTCGGCTTTAAACGACACATCAGTAAACATTGAAGGGAAAACTAAATTAACGTCCCAGGAATACATAGCAGTCTTCTTAAAACTGCATGGTGTTATCCATAATCTTGGAAACGTCAAGATCGCATCCAGCTACACGAAATTGTTGACTGAAACATTAACGGCTTTGGTAGCGACAGAAAGCTTCAGTTCGTGGGTGCTTGTACAGATGTTTGTAATTAATTTGTATGCCTTGGAACATACAACAAATATCGTTATGGGCAGCACCGAACCATTAGGAAAGGAACACTTAACGTTTGACGAGAAAGTAGCCCGAGATTGCATTTTAGATCTCATTGCTGGGAGTCTGTCTGCTTTATTATTGCCTGTCTACACAATCAAGAATTCTATTGTCGAATATTTCGCTTTGCCTTCTATAAAACTGTGCCTTGATTGGATTCACACGAAGCCCACAGTTTTGGAAGAAGTTGCTTTTACGTCGAGACTTCAGATCTGGCCCAGTCTTTGTGTATTATTGAATTCCTTACAAAATTGTGTGGTTGATTTCGCTTACGATCAATACGTGAATGTACCACTGCCAGAAGACCGTGATTTACAAGGTTTCTTACCATTGGAGAAAAGTCTTGAGTGTCTGAAATTTACGAACACCGACTTGGAAAGCGATGTCGAGGCTTCCAACAAGTTACGCGCAATTCGTATTCTGTGTTTGGGTCATTCTCTGACACATTTCAGAATAAATGGTTCCGCCTTGATCGCTATCACGATAGGAGGGGAAAAAGGTGATAATAAATTCAGTTCTATGAGTGAAGGTAACGGTCCGAGTAATGAGTTGATGAAAGAGCTGGAAGAACTTAGTCTGAACAAGGAAAGGTTGTCTGTTGTATCGGCCAGTCCGGTTCTTTCCGAGTCTGCCAGCAGCAAAGGTTCTGCAGATGTCGACATACTGTTGGAGAACACTTTATTAGACAAGAAAATAGGCATTCTGAAACCTCAAAGTTCGTTGGAGCGAAATAAGGACTCGTTGATCGCTCATACAGAATCGAACAATTTCGAAGTCAACGTGACAGCACCTATATCTGTGTCAAGAAAACCAAGACAAAATATAGCAATGCAGGCTATTATGCGGCGTGCCGAAACTGAGCAGAAGCAAGTTACCTTCAAGAACGTATCGCCGCTAGTCATCGAAGAGGAAAATGAGAAAAAGGGTAATGTAAGCTCGACATCACCGGTGAAAAGTTTACCTGCAGGAAGCAAGGGCACTCTGATTACTGGGGAAACATTGAAACCGGCCAATGTACCTGTTGTGTCTACAGCTACGTTGACTACTGCTCAGAACCGACTACCGTTGATATCTTTTCCAACGACCACCGTACAAAATCCAATCGTTTCCCCTCCGAATCAAACGAAACCAGCAAAATCGCAGCATACTGTTTTGCAACTCACGCAAATCAATCATCTTCCTACGAAAGACCAGCAACAACCTTCTGGAAATCTGCCCACGATACCGATATCAGGCGTGTCTCCATGCTTAGGAACCATTTGTTATCAAACTCCACCATTTAATGTACAAAACCCTCAGTTTGCGAAAAATTATATAACTAATCAAATAGGAAACACGACGAATTATTCTATGCAGCAGGGACATTTCGCTTCGAATTCTGGACAACAACCGATGTCTCAGAATATTAGTTTGCAACATGCGTCGGGCCAAAGCAGACCTCTACATCAGAGAATGCAAATTCAGAATATATCTCAAAATTCTTTAATACATCAAAATATTGGACATCTTCCATCCTCCAACCAACAAAATGTAATGTCAGCTGTGTCGCATAACTCTCACATAAACACTCAACAGACTGGAAATGTCGTGCTGCAACAGAATTTGAATATACAGCAGCAACCTCATAATTTGGATGTTCAACAGAATCACAGTATGGCTGCAATTCAGCAGCAAAATGTTGGGAAAACCAATCTCAGATCGAGCACAATTTTGCATAATCCAGTGAGTTTGAATAGCTCGGCCATTGTAAACGCTTCAAGTTTGTCTACATTGAATACATATCAGAAGAATCTTCATCATGTAGGTAAAATGGTACCTTCAAATGTACCGAGTGTGCCAGGCAGTTCATTAAGTCCAACCACTACATCGAGCTTTCAGTTTCAATTTAATCAAAGCGACCCTACGCGGAACGCTTTCGGTCAAATATCGCAGAAACAATTATCGTCGTCGATATACAACAAAAGTTCAGATATTTTGGAATTTCCGTTTTCCAACCAAATGGGCATGTCGAGGAGTCAATCGCAAATTGCAAACAATTATCCGTTGTTTCATAATTACGACAGTACAAACTTCAGTTTGTGGAAAGACGCTCAACAATCACTGGTCTCGGTACCATGCTGGGGTTCCGGTAGCGGTGATACACAGTTGCGGGCTAAAGATACGACTGTCGTCGAAAATTTCCGTAACTGGGAAGATTCTATTAATCCAGGAAACACGGTTTCGCAGTTGTCGTTAAGGACCTCGAATTATCAACCTGATTCACAACATGGCAAACACTTTACGAGCACAAACAACTTTGACCATTCAGCTATCCGAGAAGTATTTAGTGTATAATACAAAATATTGTACTCATCCTCTATCCCATGTTATGGTGATATGGTATATAAAGTATACCATAGCATGAGGTGGCGGCAGTATAGTATCGTATTGTATTGATTTAATAAAAAGCAAATTTTAAAGTGTTGTTTTTTGCAGGTGGATTTAAAATCTTCCCAATCAATCAATACAGGAAATACTTATTCGTTGTTCAGCAGTAATAGCGCATGGGGGACTAATTCACAAGCATGTAATGTTTCAAATCAGGATCAAACGAAAACTCGACTTAGTCAGCAATCTTTATGGTCTGGGCCTGGCCCATCTCCTTTGGAACGGCTTTTGGAACAACAGAAATCTTTACGCGAAGGAGGTACCTGAAGGAAAGCAATACAGATATTCTATCGAAATATATTGGAAAAGGATTTATTCGATTTGCGGATTCAGCTAACAAAGGGAGTCCAGCAAACCAACATACCACAATAAATATCGACCGTTTTGACGAGAATGTTAAATTTGTTACAATGCAACAGCTACCATGAGGTTTCGTAGCCGCTTAGGAATTCGTTTCATTAAAAACGAATAATACATACGTCCAAAGCGTTATGAAATACGCTCTAGAAATACATAGGTATTAATTACTTACGCTACTTATTGCGCGCATGCTAGAAAATGAAAATATTGTGATAGTGGCAGTCAGCACTATCGGATTTTTCAGAATAGTTCTTTTAAATCTATTAACGAGCAGTTAATTGAGTCACTTAGAAGAAAGAATTTGGCGATCAAATAATTTGTTTATTAACAATGAACCATGTGAAAGAAGGGCGTAGCATAGAAATTCCATTGAACAAACAACTCGTGTAATGTATGGAAATTTCTATTGCGGAAGGTATGCGTATTCGGTCAATTTGATACGATTCGATCCATCAGAAGCTCGGAGATTAATTCAAGAAAAAATGTTTTCTGTTTTATTGCTTCACTCTTCATCTTTTTTTTAACTTTTAGACACGGTATTATATGCATATAAACGTAATTCTGTTGGTACACATACGTAATAACAATATACATTTCGTATCGTACTATGTAGTCTTACTACTGCGTATTTCTATTTACTATTACCGAATTTGCATACATAATTAAGTTCCAAGTTATTTTGCAATAAATGATCTTTCTAGATGTTTTGAAATTTTCATTAAAATCTAACAAAGCAAAAACATATTTGATGTAAATATACGAAGTAGTTTGTTCTCCACAAGAAATTAAAAGGTAAAACAATTTTCGAGACAATTGTGAAAACGATCTTTTGAAATTAACTATGTGTGTTCAATGAAATTAAATTATGTTTGTAAAAGAATTCAATGTAACAAATGCACAGAAACAATAATTTTATTGAAGAGATTGAAATTAAGAATTCATTTATTTGCAAATACACAATGTTACAAGTTCAATAAAAATTGAGTATGAATTCAATTCAGATACATTTAGTTTACTTCTATATCCTTCATTGATATTTTTTACTCAATACTTTAGTTATACCGATAGATTTTCTTCACAACTATCTATCTACTTCACGACTATCTTCTTCACAACTTAGACTATCTCTATAGAAAATGGTAACTGCATACATCATATTTCAATTACTGTCTCTTATACACATCTAGATGTGTATAAGAGACAGCTTCACGACTATCTTCTTCACAACTTAGACTATCTCTATAGAAAATGGTAACTGCATACATCATATTTCAATTACTGTCTCTTATACACATCTAGATGTGTATAAGAGACAGCTTCACGACTATCTTCTTCACAACTTAGACTATCTCTATAGAAAATGGTAACTGCATACATCATATTTCAATTACTGTCTCTTATACACATCTAGATGTGTATAAGAGACAGCTTCACGACTATCTTCTTCACAACTTAGACTATCTCTATAGAAAATGGTAACTGCATACATCATATTTCAATTACTGTCTCTTATACACATCTAGATGTGTATAAGAGACAGCTTCACGACTATCTTCTTCACAACTTAGACTATCTCTATAGAAAATGGTAACTGCATACATCATATTTCAATTACTGTCTCTTATACACATCTAGATGTGTATAAGAGACAGCTTCACGACTATCTTCTTCACAACTTAGACTATCTCTATAGAAAATGGTAACTGCATACATCATATTTCAATTACTGTCTCTTATACACATCTAGATGTGTATAAGAGACAGCTTCACGACTATCTTCTTCACAACTTAGACTATCTCTATAGAAAATGGTAACTGCATACATCATATTTCAATTACTGTCTCTTATACACATCTAGATGTGTATAAGAGACAGCTTCACGACTATCTTCTTCACAACTTAGACTATCTCTATAGAAAATGGTAACTGCATACATCATATTTCAATTACTGTCTCTTATACACATCTAGATGTGTATAAGAGACAGCTTCACGACTATCTTCTTCACAACTTAGACTATCTCTATAGAAAATGGTAACTGCATACATCATATTTCAATTACTGTCTCTTATACACATCTAGATGTGTATAAGAGACAGCTTCACGACTATCTTCTTCACAACTTAGACTATCTCTATAGAAAATGGTAACTGCATACATCATATTTCAATTACTGTCTCTTATACACATCTAGATGTGTATAAGAGACAGCTTCACGACTATCTTCTTCACAACTTAGACTATCTCTATAGAAAATGGTAACTGCATACATCATATTTCAATTACTGTCTCTTATACACATCTAGATGTGTATAAGAGACAGCTTCACGACTATCTTCTTCACAACTTAGACTATCTCTATAGAAAATGGTAACTGCATACATCATATTTCAATTACTGTCTCTTATACACATCTAGATGTGTATAAGAGACAGCTTCACGACTATCTTCTTCACAACTTAGACTATCTCTATAGAAAATGGTAACTGCATACATCATATTTCAATTACTGTCTCTTATACACATCTAGATGTGTATAAGAGACAGCTTCACGACTATCTTCTTCACAACTTAGACTATCTCTATAGAAAATGGTAACTGCATACATCATATTTCAATTACTGTCTCTTATACACATCTAGATGTGTATAAGAGACAGCTTCACGACTATCTTCTTCACAACTTAGACTATCTCTATAGAAAATGGTAACTGCATACATCATATTTCAATTACTGTCTCTTATACACATCTAGATGTGTATAAGAGACAGCTTCACGACTATCTTCTTCACAACTTAGACTATCTCTATAGAAAATGGTAACTGCATACATCATATTTCAATTATCCATTTACAAACTAATTAATGAATTGAATATCAAATAATAGAAAAGTAGCTTCTTTATGTGTTATGCTCCATTATCACCTACAAGTTAAAAATATGGTGTATAAATACATATATATAAACATGTAAATAGACATATATGATACAACATATTCTTAAGATCAGAAAA